AAAGGGCCCAAGCCTGAACAAGAAATTCAGACTCCAACCAACTGGGGGTAAAACACGTTCAGGAGGTTCGTGGCAGATGAGAAGAGCACATCCACTTCATAGTCATTCAGCACTTCTGGGTCATTTTCTTATAAAATGGACATATACTCCTTTGTTCACAAAGTGTTTACTTTTTTAAGTACTGATGTAAGCATTATTTTCTGACAATTTTAATGACTCTTTTCTGGCTTTCTGCTTTGAAAAGAGTTATCCAACCAGGAACAGAATCAATACAATATAGCTTAAGAAACTGTGAATAGCCATTAGTCCAATGGCACAACAAAACCCAATGTTTCTGAGCAATTCTTGAATTAAAATATATCTCCTGATCTGACTCTTTTTTTTCAGAATAGTAGAATGAGTCTCACTGGTATGAACCCCAAATTCCAAACCTGTCTATTTGTGTTTAATTTTGAAGCAAAATAAATAGTTTTGTTTGTTTGTTTGTTTTTTGCAGTGACTTTATTAGTGTGATGTCCCTACAAGAAGTTTACTCAGCTTTACTCAGTATTGAGGATAGAAAAAGCAGAAAGAACAGTGTGATTGTAAGGTCTTAGGCAAACTGTGTGGCATTAAGAAATACCATTTTTTGACTTTGTTCTAATTGGAGCCTGTTTGACCCTGGAGCCAGAGCAGGGTAGTGGAACAAGCATGACTCAGATGAAGTCAATTTTCACAGTGTTGTACAAAAACTAAGAGACACAGAAAAATACAGAACATGTGAAGGGGGAAGAGCTGGAGAGAGATTAACAGCAAGAATCAAAAAACAGAATATGTCCTGAATAGTGGCTAGGGAAAGGAAGATAAAGAGAAAATGGAGAAGAGAAGGGAAATAGAAGCCAAGAATAAGATGAAAGCAAAGGGAAATAAAAAAGAGGAGTGTCCTTCTGCCCTGCTAGGCAGAGAGATGAGGTGGCAGGACAGCAAACAGCCCCAGGCATAGTACTCGTTATTTCCATGCCAGCTGATGTCATTGATTGCTTCCCTCCTCCCTTGTCCTGCTCGATGACAGATTTGCAGGACTTCTGACTCAGAAAAACCTCTTATGCTTTTGTGCTGTCCAGGCAAAGGTCCCCTAGTGTCACAGGGACATAGTCACGTTTCAGGATGCTTCCAGATGACACCCATCAGTAGCCACCGGGAAGTGGGTAGAGTCTGGGCCATTTGGGACCATCTCCACCAAGAGGGAGACCCTTTTCCTAGCCTGTCCTTTGGCAACAGCCAATTTGTTCCTCAGTTGTGATGCTAGTAAACTCACATAGGACTGCTGTCTCGTGTATCTTGATAGAAGTCATTGTAGCCTTGCTGTCATTCTGCTAGTATTACTATTTCTTTTCAAACCAACCTTTCTCATTTCCTTTTTTCCAAGGATTTTTTTTTCTTGCAAAGTGCAAACCCTGCAGTGTCCAACCCCTTCTGTCAGAGTTTAGTCAGAAGAAATAAAACAAATGCTTCTTTTGCCAAAGGGAGACAACTGGAAGAGGGATATGGGAAGAACGAAGCAGAAAGAAACTTCATAGCAAAGAAAGCAAACAGAATCCCCACATTTGTGGGCCTAATCCTTTAGGACATCCCATTCCCAGAGCAATGATCTCATATTCTTATTGCAGCCAGTGTGTTCTACAATTACCCACCCTGTTGATGCCAATGGAAACTCATCAGGACTGGACCAGCTCTTCCTTTTCTGTAGGGAGAGATGATGAGTTTCATTGTGTTTCCTCAGATACTGGTCACTGTTTCTGCAAAAGGGTGAAGGAGGGAGGGCAGATTAGAGGGTTTTTTTTTTTTTCTGAGAAAGGAGCTGCAAATAGATATGAGCAGTAGCAGATGAGCTACCTGCCCATCTGGATTGCCAGCTGTGGGATTGGCATTTTGTTTACAGCTTGGCTAGCCAGCAGCTGACCCAGGAACTGTCCAGTGCACCCAAACTCTGGCTTAACTGATGGAGGATTTATGAAAGGGTTGTGCCTAATGTAGGAAAGGGGATAGGGAAGAGGGTGAAAGAATTTGAGGTAGTGTTGGAGGAGGGAGGGAGGTTGGAGAGGGTATGAAGGGAAGGAGAGCTTGTGTTACTGTGTTGAGAATATAGGGATGCAGCTTACTTATCTAGTGAAATCCAAATTCTGTTTCTTCAGTTGCTCTCAGATGGTTTAAACTGAGTTATATATTTAATTTTTTGCTTTAATAGAGCTCCTCCCCCACTTTTATCCAGTTACCCATGAAGAGTCATGATGAAACGAGACCTACTTAAATCAAATGTCACAATTGATGCTCATCGCAGGCCACCATTTGCCTGTGTGTGATGTGAACTCGTATAGCCCAAGGCAGGGAGCAGCAAGAGAAAAAAAGGGTTGAAGTGAGTTTGGAGTGAACGAGCAGGAAGCAACCCCTGTCTGAGGAGCTTGTGCTTCCCGATGCCTTTATCACAAACCTACATTTTTAACGTGGGAATTGTGTTCTGTAGCGAGGGTGGGAATAAAGCATAGGGTGAAAGGGAGAAATCTGGTTTAGTGTAGGAGACTGCATCCATTTCTGCCATTTCCGAAACTGGTATCTGACTGAACTAGATAGTTCTGTTCCCAGAAGAAGGCCCTGTCCTTATTTCATTTTGTAAGCAGAAGAATGCAACATTTCAATGCTCAGAGCATCTGGAATGTGTCCAGTTTCTTTCTTTTTTTTTTTTTGATGGAAAATGTACTGAAATGTTGATATTTTCTTTGATTTTTTTTCTTTGTGTTTACCTAGTTCCTGAAAAACTGCTTCTGATCTTCGACAAATATTTGGCAGAAGTAAATGCTTTGGGCAGGAATGGAAACACATGAGTTGATGTTAAAATTTCAGTGATCCAAGTCTCCATAGAAGTGGAGAGTAAGAATCAGTGTGCGAGCTGAAGCATCCCAGAACATTTCAGGAAGCTGTAGGTGTGGATAGATACACGTCCTTGCTGGATCTGTGAGGCTCAGTGCTGTTCTTCTATTAAGATATTGCCTGAAATTGAGTCTTAAAACTTCAGTAAGCTGAATTAGGCTTGCAATCCAAACCCTGGATTGGGGGTGGTGGTGGGGGTCAGCCCATCCCAAGCTACCTATTTCACAGAGCCACATCACACCAAAATACTGCTTGGCTTCCAGCCTGTGGCTAATTTTTATCTGGTTGGCTGAGAGTAAAAGACCTTGAATCTGCCTATACTCCTCTGGGTATATAGCCCCAGTTGGACATTCATAACTTTGAATGCATCTCTAAATTTTGTCTCAGATCCTTTAAGCTCTTAGGCCAACCTTCCCAATAACTCTTGTGAGGTTCGCTGCAACAATATTGTGGAAGTTATGTTCTTCATTAATTTCGACAATGATATTCAAAATGTGGGAAATGCCCTTGGTCAAAGAACACAAGGAAGATTCTACCAAGCCTTTTCAAACTTCAGGGACAGTTCAGTTCAAATTCCATGCTATCCAGATTTATTTTTTTCATTCATGGTGGGCACTGTGGAGCAAATCTGCACTGACGGTTGGCCTGGAGTATCAAATACTTTGCAATGGACACATGCTTGCTTTGCCTATGCGTCAAACTGGCCAGAAGTCATATAAGCATAATGCTGAGCCTTACTAATATATTTTGCTTTACAGAAGGCTTAGTAGCCTGGAACAGTGCTGAAGTAGCCTCAGATTCATGACTTCCTGTTGATTGGAAGTTCATGTTGAGCAACCTCATCTCTGCCAACAAAATGGTGTGGACAAGTCTTTAGAGGATTGCCTGTTCCACTCCCAAATTCATGCATAATTGCATTTTTTTTCCCACTATGCCAAGCCCTTGCTATGTCAGAAGCTGTCTCGTCTCCAAAGCTCTAGCAATAGGTGTTGATACTGTGCCAATCTAATAACAACCTTGACTGTACTCCCACACCTCTGCATGCTGCATAATCACTCTAAATAGAAGCTTCTCTTATATCGCCCGCACTGTGCGTCTCTGCTTCTCTGTGTTCAAGCCAGCAGATATCATTGATGTGGATGAGGAACATGCTGGATAAAAAGCCTGAAGCAGAGAAAAACAATTAGACCCCAGATACTCTAATAGTAGGGGGAGTTTAGCCCCCAGATGAAGAGACCTAGATTGGAAGAGGGTGGTGGTTCTTGACATTGCAAAGGCTGATGACCAGCAAATTCTTTGTTTTCAGGCAGCAAAAGAGGATCGTTCCACAGCTGCCTTTCCTCCCAGGGCCCTGCATCTCAATAAATGCCCTATGCAGTAGTGAAAGACTGATGAAGTGATGGAGTGAGAGTGGTGAAGTGATGGATGATATGACTGAATGCTGGGTTCCAAGGAGGATGTTTATATATTTTTTTTTTCTTTGCTTGCTTCATCTCCTCCCTTGCCAGATGGATATTTGCAGTCAGTGGAAGATTTTCACCTTTTCATCCTCCAAGCTTCAGTGACAGCCATTCTCAGAGGAGCTCATTTGTAATTGTCCTAATGTGGGCACTGCCTTCTACTGATGCCTCATTAATTATCCCAGAAGTTCCACACTGGATATGAAGGACCTGATCTTCCTCACACAACCTGCACTTTTTGCACCTATCTTGCCAAGAGTATCACACTTGTTACCTTAACTCTGATGTGTACAAAAGCAGAATCAGGACCAAAGAAAGGCTGGATCAACCAGAGATATAATCTGGCCTTATATTTTCTTTATTTGCATGTTCATGGTGACATGAAGGTCAGGTGATTTGACACACAATTAGGAGGAAAGTCATTGCCCTGAAATTGAGCTGGTAGCATTTGCTAATCTAACTTTCTTTCCTTCTTTCCTCCTTTCATTTTCTTTTCCTTCCTTCCTTCCTTCCCTCCCTCCCTCCCTCCCTCTCTTCTCTCTCTCTCTTTCTTTCTTTCTTTCTTTCTTTCTTTCTTTCTTTCTTTCTTTTTCTTTCTTTCTTTCTTTTAACGTCTTATTTTCTCTCTTTCAGAACATGGAAAAGGTGCTGGTCCCTTCTGTCACGTTAATTGTAGGCTGTGGAGTATCTTCGCTGACACTTTTGCTGTTGATTATCATTTATGTCTCTGTTTGGAGGTACGACATTCATTCTTCTTTCTTCTTTTGGGAAAAAAAAAAGGCAACTGTCTCTTGATCTAGCTGGATCCCACAGGTTTTATTCTCCTCTTTTAGGTGCTTGGTGCCTGAGGACAGACTGTTTTGTAATGAGTGTGTACTGCAGAGAGTCATCATGGTGGCTTAGTTGGCTTTATCCTGTCCTTTTAGTACCAGAGAAATTAGTACAGTGAAGTTAGTGCCTTGACCCCTTGTAGTCACACTGTTCCATTTTCAAAACCTGCATGCTGTTTTAGACGCCTTCATATACCCCAGGAAAGAGGCGGACACTCATTGCCTTCTGACAGACAGGTTGCTTCAAGGTATTCCGCGTTAGATCTCTGATAAAATCAAAGGATTGAAGACTTTTTATGAAAACATTTGGCCTGAAGAACTGACAACAATTTCCAGGAGTTTAAGGATGTTAAATCTTACAGTGTAACTAGCTCTCAAATCACTTAGCTACATTCTGCCTTGAGCTTCAAAGGCATGAGGGATTCTTCACTATTTCCTCTTGCAGAGAACTCCCATACACCTACAATCAGCCGTCAGTTGCAACCATGCAAATAGTTGCATAATTTGCAAAGACTGAAGTGATTTATTAGCAAAGTTTGTTTGAACAAGAGTCAACACCAGCCCAAGCCCTTTTAGTGGACTGTTCAAGCCCTGAGAATCACAGGTGCTTGTGGGATCTCTCTCTGTACAGGCTTAAATAAGGCTTGAGTTTGTACTACAGAGATCTGAGCCTTGCCTAAACCCATGAAAAACATAGTGAGAGCTTCATGACTCCAAGCTAAATGAAATAGAGAAAACCCAAACTATTTGAATTACTGTGAAATTGAAATGCAATGGCTACAGAGAATATGCTTTTACGAACTTACTGGTGACCCTTTTCTGAGATCAGTCTGAGTCAGCTCTTATTTTGTCAGGTTTTTCTTCTTAGTAGGGAGGAAAGAGTAGGTTCATCTCTGGGTTGTGAGTCAAGATCACTTTTCCTACCGTTTGATGGAGGCAGAAAAAGAAGAAAGAGAAAAAAACAGTAAAGATGGGCAAAAAAATGCATCTTTTTGTTGGCAGGGCATAATGGCATGTTAACTATAGCGAGTGCTCTGAGGTAAGGACTAGTCATAATAACATTTAACTGGAACTAAAGTTTTTCTGCAGCTGTGGTGTCCCCAGGATCTGTGCAGGTGCTTTTCCTCTCCTGGTTTTCTTCGGGCAGGGTAGGCATTTGTTTTTGTTGGGGTGGTGAATTTCAGTTCCACTGGCATCAGGATCAAGTGAAAATTCAGGAGAGAGGAGTGAAAAGCCAGATAGTCTGATGGTCATTTATTACAGACATATACTCACTTTCTTATCAGAAACACATTCAGGATCAGAAAACTTAAGTTCAGACATTAGTTGGATTAGATTTTTGCTTTATGTTTGGAGCATGTTGGATTATTTTGGAATGAGGACAGGAAAGTTAGTTACTGTCCCTGCTTAAAAATATGCCCTTTTTAGTTCCTAATTCCAGACATTGACTAATGTTTATGCCCAAAATGATCTGAGGCAAATTCAGCATGAATGGGACTTTTATGGGACACTTGACTGGGAATTTCTGAGCTAGCCAAAGATGGACATGTATTTCCAAGTGATCCTGAGATCAGATATATTTTGCTTAAAGAGCTGTCTGTCCTAGGAAGTATCTTCTTTGTGGAAATATATCAGGAAACCATGATCAAGCCGTCTCAGGACTTTCTCTTGGGTGGGCTGAGTTAGTGTCATTTCTTATCTGTAAATCATGTTTTATATTTTCTAAACTTTACAACATTCCCATGGCTGAGCCTTGAGCATTCTCCAGAGTGTACACCCTTTTTATCTTAGGCGTAGCTGCTGGACATGAGTGTGCTATCCTATTAATGATCCCAGGAACATCATATCGAAGTTAACATTCTCTCTTGGCTCCTGCTTGATTTTGCCCTGTGTGTTATATAATCTATCCATTCTTGTAGCTACAGGCAGGCATCTGGAGGCATTCCCAGAGGTTGGATCAGCTGTTTTATTCTGGCTGTTGTGGCTAAAGTGCAGGAATTGTGTAAAAGTGGCCTTTTTTTTCACTGCACAGGAGAGAAACTTCTTGTCAGAGCAGTGTCCTAGCCATGTGGTATTCTCTGGGGAGCACTCACTGAAACTCAACTGTTTTGAGGAGCTTTGGCTGTGAAATTTCCCATTCAGACCTTTGGACAAAGGCATCTGGAGCGTGTATACATAGGCTCAGCTTGAATATGAACCTGTTCTAATGAATAGATTCAGTGAGGCTGACAATTTGGAAAATTTCCCAGAGTTTTGCCCAGCTAGAGTTTGTTTATACATGGGAAGCAGAAAGAGAAGGGAAAAAAAAAAAAAAAAAGGAGAGAGGGAAAGAAACATGATAAATGAAAGGGGGTGAAGCACGAGGTGATCCCAGCTCTGGATATCAGAGAGGAAATGAATTTACCCTCTTCTTTTCATTCAAAACCGCAATAGCGGCTGCTTATTAGTGACATCCTCTCAGCCACCAGTGTGACCTGCATGAGTTTCGCGATTCAAGCAATCACTTCAGATGCAGCCAAGTTGGCAGAATCTCATTCTAGACGGGATGCTGTGGCTGTTTGACGGTTGGTGGTGGCCTGTTCATGGACTCCCTCCAGTTTCCAGGAGACAGATGGTTACAAAAGCTCTGCCACAGATGGTGCGTCTCTGCCCTTATTAGCAGCCTTGACAGAGAGGGCAGTCACCAAGTGGGCTGTAGAAATGGAACGACCTTCTTACCTCTGGGCAGTGACTGGCTCACATCTGGAGAGGCAATCTGTATGTGAAGAGGCAGTCCGTATGTGGACCATGTGCTCCGCCATTTGTGTGGAGAGGAAGGCAAGTTCAGAGAGAAAGATCTACCCAGTTGAACTCTGAAAAATGAAAAGGAGGGAGAAATAGGAATTGCTGATAGGTTAGAACACGTGAAGGGTCTTAGCTCTGGTCTGTACAGGAAGTCTTTGCAAGCAACTCCTTGACATGGTAGCACTGCATGAGTGTTTCCCATCACTGAACTTGGCACAGTTCAACAGCCTCCGGAGTCAGAGTGATGTTTCCATAGCCTGGACATGAATGCTCCCTTTGGAATAGCTCTTGAACCATTTCTCCCACCAGGCAGTCAGCATGTGGGACGCTGCAGACCTCTCTCTCTGGCAGTGGCCAAAGGAATGCCACATCCTGACAGATATCAATGTGAGCTTTCCTCACTCCCTGCCCATCAAGGCTGAATATTGATTTAGCACTTGTCCACGAGCTCTTGTGGGACTTGTCCCTGCATTAAATCCAGTAGCACTGCTTTCATTGAAGATGCTGAGGTGCTCTGTGGTGCAGTAACTACAATGAGCGAGTGGCTGGAGAAGAACGTGTAGATGCACAGACTGAGAAAGACCAGGAGAGTGAGTCAGTGCTTGTGGAGAAGAAGGGAGTGCTTTGGCAAAGGAGAGACAGATTGCAGGGTTTTCCCACATTCTCCATCTGTCTCAGTTTGTGCAGGATTTCCCCATATTCCTCAAGACCCAGGCCAGAGCAGAAGTTCTCTGCATTTTGAGTGAGAGTCTTTCCCAGCTTTGGAGGCTGAGCACAAGGAAGAGTTTCCCTGTGGCAGCAAAGGAGTAGCCTAAATTAATGGGTTTGGTGTGAGTTTCAGGCAATACTTCCTGTTAAGTCAGGTTTCCAAGAGACCCAGGACAAGTTCAGACTACTTCCAGCTTCCAGCATTGCATTGGTGATTCTCCTTATCCAGAAAAGCATATTCATAGTGTTCAGGTTTATCTGAAACTAAATCTAAAACTCAGAGGGAAGTTAAAATCACATTTTTGCAGTCTCCAGTAAGTCTAAGGCATCAGGATTGTTGAGCAAGAAATGCAGCTGCGGGCAGCCAAACCATGACAGATTCACTCTTAAAAAATTGGTTGACAAAATTAAATTCCTAATATAAGTAGCTGATATGCCAGGATATATACTGCAAGAAAATAATCCTAACATTAGCCTCCAGGGATGAGCCGCTTGGTTAATAGGTCAATCTCTAATTCCTACAGGCATAAGAGTCTCCTTTTTATTCAGCTCATATTCAGGCAAAGCATTTGCTAAATCACCAAGATTATTCACCTGTGTAAGTGCTGGTGTGGTCAGGACCTTCCCTTTAATTTTATCAGGTACATAAAAGTGTGTTCAAAGAAATTTTCCTCCGATAACCAGTGGTTTGAATTAATTGTCTGGCACAAACAAACTGCAAATCAGACCTGACAAGTGACTTGCTCCTGCAAGGTGCTGAAGGCAACAGCTTCCAAACTTGGATTCCTAATGTCCCAGACCTATAGCTGCAGTTATATATTTGGCCTAGTTTTGAGGAGTGTTAAGACTTTTCCACAGGGCAAATTGTTAAATGTCGCCCTTTGAAAAAGAAGCCACTAATACTTTCTTATTTCTGGAACAGGCTTAAACAAATCACAAACACTGAATCACGAACACTTTGTTATGAAGGTGAATGCATTCGTAATCTGTTTTCATAGCCAGCATGCCTGTGACTCTTCTCTTGGAGAAGCTTTCTATTGGCACATATATGTTTTCTTTTAAGCTGCTTTTCAAGACCCCTTTTGAGTAAGCAGAGCTGCAGAAGACTTACAGCACTCCATATGTCTTGGAAATGTTTTGGACATACATGAATCAGGATAGCATCTGTGTGTGCAGTGTTAAGGGTTAAAAGTGCAAGTGCACTCAATCACTGTACTTCAGGATGCAGGGTGATCACTAGCTGATGAAGAACGACGCTGCTCCTGAATTGATTAGAATTATACACTAAAGGTCCTCAAGCATCCAGGTTTACCTCTTGTGGAGACAAGGTGCTGGTCCAGGCTGGCCCCTAGTTTATTGACTTAGGTACATAACTCTGGCATTGAAGCAAGGAACGAGAGACTGACCACTACACTTAGGTTCTTCTCTTCCCCGCTCGCTCCCCTTTCTCTTATCTGTTCAGCATACAAAGTCTGCAGAAAGTGGGCTATCTTTTAGTGGTCTTTTATAGAACCTGCCCTAGTGCAACCTGTGTACGGTTGATACCTTTCAAAGGAACTTAATGCAAGTTGTGACAGGATGGATCTCCCTCCCCCTTTCTCTTTTTGCAGGTATATCCGCTCAGAGCGCTCTGTCATTCTTATCAACTTCTGCCTGTCCATCATTTCCTCCAATGCCCTCATTCTGATTGGACAAACGCAGACCCGGAATAAGGTAGGAGATTAGTTGGACTTTGTTTGTTTGCTTTTCCCCTGATTTAGCACTGAAATGATCTATTCAGGAAACCCTTCCTCTTTTTTCCTCCATCTGTTATTTAGCTACATGACTAAAGACATGACTGAATGGCAGATTTCAATTTTCTCTTTCACTCTCTCTTTAATAATTTGTCAGCATCCTCAGGGCCTTGATTAAAACCGATGTGATATTTTTGAGTTATCTGCCTAGAGTTAGCTGGCACACGGCACAGTAAAGAAACATGGTTATTTGTGGGGCTTTAACCATTTTATTTTCTCCCCCCCAAAAATGAAAAGAAAGACAGCAACTTTCATTATCCACGCTCCAAGCACTTGTCATTTGTTAATAAATATAGTTCCAAAGATCAGCCTTTTGGGAGCAGAAACAGCACCAGACCCATCATACACACTACAGAACTGAGACACAGCGAACATGAGGGACTTGCTGCAGTTCAGTATGTGACTCAAATGATAAAGACAAGAAGAGAACCTGCATTTTCAAGCCATGTGCACTAATTGCAGAGTGCATTCCTTTCTGTATTACAGAGCAGAAGAGCGTATTGCCTGCATGGGTTTTCTCCAGCTGTAGCACTTTCAATTTCCCTATTGGCATCTTGAATAACAAATCACTGATTAACATTAGAATTTTCATGTTGTACATTTTCTGTCTCCCCAAGCACTCAGACTATCCAAACGCTACTAAACAGCGAACTGAGACAAGGCGCTTAGCGCTAAAATCACACTCATAAGTCAAATTAGTTTTAACTTCAATAGTGACCAGTGACTTGCCCATTATTTTGAGCCTACCTCGTCAGCCAGAGCATGAAGTCACTTTTAGAAGCTCTTTCACAGAGGAACCTGAAGATTTGATGAATCAGAGATACTCATTATCCTTGGTTTATACCGAGAGCCCTTCAGGTCAGGGCTAGGTTATGTTTTAGAGACATCTTCACAGCTTCTTTAGTTACATGTATATAGAGAAGTGGGGAGAGATGCAGCCAGAGAGCTTTGTGCCTATTAAGCAAGTGCCATTCAGATGCTGTCCGTGCTTCATGGCCAGCATGGTTTGCTTGGGGGAAGAGGTCGAGAAAATGTTAGAAGACCAAAGAAGTGTGTGTCTGTAAGCAGAGGAGGGCTAGGAGCAACTTTTCCTAGAAAGAAATTGGATAATACACATGGTAAGCCAGGGCTGAACCTCCTATTCGATCCTTTTTCTTCCTCCTAGGAAAGGAGCAGGGTGCCTACACCCTCCCCCACCCCCTGCAGAGTAGAGTTATATGCCTAGGTTTTCCCTCTTGCTTTTTCTCACTTTACTCTGGTTGTTCATCATCAGAGCTGTTAGCAGGGATTCAAAGCTCCCGACTGCAATTGCATGAGGCAGATTAGCTCTTTGCATATAAATGTGCATGGAACACCGTAAATAGAAAGATTATTCTTGGATTTCCGCTCAGCCATCTAGTAAACAGTCTCTGGCAGGGAACAGAGAAAGAAAAGTATACGGAGGAGAGATCAAGGCTTCCATAGAGTGTAAATTAGGAATTTATTCATATTCAATTATTGATAATGGAGCTTCTTAAAATGTTGGCGATTGATTTATAATTACAGCTACTCTGGGAGAATTTCTACGGAATTAGCTTCTCTGAAAATGACAAATTCTCCCTTCATTCCCATCCGTGTAACCTCAAAGGCAAGCCTCCACGCCTGCATTTGCTAAGCTTTTTGAAGATGAAAGGCCTAGGAAAAGGCTAAATATTGCAGTCAGCAATAACATGATACAAAAGAAATGAATGCTGCATGAACTGGCCATATCTCAAAGGCATGGTTACGTGCTGGAAGGAGCACATTTCTTCTCTTATAGCAAAACAAGGGCTAATGGCCTTGACAGACTGACAAGCTCTCCTAGATCTTCCTGCAACAGTTTAAGACATCAGATCCCCCTGCTCAGCCCTTTCTGGAGATGGCCTATTTCCCAGCCCAATTTCAGGACTTTAAGTTGAGGCAATGGGCTTCTGAGAAGCTCAAAAAACAAAGGCTGTGCCCTGGGAGATGCAGGCCACTGCTCAGTGACTTGCTCGTGTCAGCACCCACCTCTAGGTTGCTTTATCCTGTCTAGTTGCCAGAAGCAGCTCTGTCAACAGAAAAATACATTGTGGTCAAAGTCACAAAATTGACCCAGTCATACTAGAAGGTTATCTACATAGCAGCGGCTGGTAGTAGTTGTCACCTGTGAAGTCTCAGAGAGAAGGCTGATGTTTGACATGAGTGGAAAATCATTCTCTCCCATCCTTCACTGTAGTATCCCCATGGGATGGTTGGGAAACCACAAGAGAAGATTTCTCAATTGAGAAGACAGTCTCAATTCTGTACATAAAATTAGGCCCTTGCTCCCACTGGATTTTAAAGTAGTCATATGCACAATCATGAAATATAGATGTGCTTATTTTTTGCTGTGTTCTCCTTCTCCTCCCCTTTCCCTCAAAACTGCCTCATTAATATCTGATTAAGTAAAAATGCCTGGAAAATGTAATGTATGTCCCTGGTGGAAAATTGGAAAGCAAAGACTTTCTCTCCTCTTTACAAATTGCTGGTAAAGAGGGCAGAATTTTGTCAGTGGAAAACTGCTCAACCAAGTAGAATCATTAATACGATATATGATTTCTAAAATTGTCCCCTCGCAAAAAAAATTCTAAAATTCAAATCTTTTGAATGATATTGTTGAAAGAATCTGCTATTTTACTTCGGTGTATAGGCTGATGAATAGCAACCACCTTTTTTTTTATTTTTCTTTTTAAATATAAAAATTACTTAAAATTATCATATTGAGATGTCTTATTTGTACTGAAGTGTCATCCAGAACTTGTTTAAAGGTTTTTGGTGTCAAATACAAATACAAATATGGAACAAAACAGCAGTTCCTACCTCAAACATCATGCTGTCCTACTTTTATTCACAATCTCTGAAAACATCAGTTTTTTCCAGTGTATGAATTGAAAGCAAAAATCACATGCACACAAAGAAATGTATAATAGCTCTCTGTTAAAAGATGCTAATGGATGAAAAAAGAGGAAGGGTCATTGACCATAAACCCAAAGTCCATATATACTGATATAACTCAAAGCAGAGAAATTCTGGGCTGTCCTGCCTTGTCTGCCCTGAGTTTCTTATGCTTTTTTTTTTTTTTTTAAGCCAGATTCACTTGTAAAATCGGTTTGCTCTCACTTCTTGGCAATCACTAAAATTTGTTTCCATCATTTTGTTCTTAAATTTATTGCTTCACAGGGCCACATTTTCTGCTGGTGAAAATTCAGCACAGGTCTGGTGCAGTTAACAGAGCAGCATCAATTTGCACCAGCAAGAGATTTGGCCTCCACAACTTAAAAACAAAGCAGAGCTTGTCAGCTTTCCGGTCCATCTCCCTGACACTACAGGATTGTTCTTCATAATAAATTTCCTAGTACTTTCCCCAGTTTAATTTTAAATGGCTTAAGCTTCCCATGTTTCCCTTGGGAAAGTGGAGTAGTAGAACTCACCATTATGAAATTCCTTTTAACATTGTGGGTTTTTTTCTTTTTTCCATTTTTTCTCCCTCCTTACTGCTAGTTACACTCTCATGGACAACTCTTTGCATCTTTTGTTTATACAGTCCCCACCATCCACTAGCAGTGATGGTTTCACAGCTTAGTTCTTGCAAAGAACAATCCTTTTCTGGCAGGGACACAGTCTAAATTACCTTCCTCTGGTTTCATTTCTGTTGCAAACAGCACAGCACTCGCAAACCTTTGGAGCTGAGATTAGCGTGAGGTTTAATAACTCTCGGAAAGGACTGTGACAATGTTTTGATTGTTTGGAAAATGAGTCTGTCTTGCTGAAGTCAAGAAACACTTCGGGCTTGGATAGGACATAGGTTCAAGCATTGTCTCTGCAAAATTGTTAACTGTGGGCTTATCTTTAAGCTGTTGCTAAAATACTGTTGATTTCCATGAAATGTTTACACATAAAGCAAATGCTTTAGTCCTTTGCCAGGTCAAAGCTTGCAGGGGAGATGGTCTCCTCCTGGAATGTCTTTTCATTTTCTCACTCGTGTGATCTTTCCTTCCAGAACCTGGTTTGGAAGCAGCTCCCTTTGCCCACTGCTATCCTCTGAGTTGCTCTCTCCGCCTGCTGCTCCTCTCACATGTCCTCCTTTCCTCCTATCTCCAGGTGATATGCACGCTGGTGGCAGCTTTCTTGCACTTCTTCTTCCTCTCCTCTTTCTGCTGGGTGCTGACAGAGGCCTGGCAGTCCTACATGGCCGTGACGGGCCGGTTACGGAACCGCATCATCCGCAAGCGTTTCTTGTGTCTCGGATGGGGTGAGGATTGCGAGTCTGGGAATTAGCCCCTCCAGTAGGGGGGAAAACTCTTTTTCCCCTATAATGTGTCTTTTACTTTTGCTGGGGAGGCAGGGAGAGCCCATGCCAAAGAGGTACGGGTATGATAGACCACGATTTCTCCAGAGGTGGTTACCCCATTTGGCGTATCAAGAAGGGCTGAAATGGTTAAAAAATACCTTGAGCAAAACTCAGCCTTACTTTCTACCTCTGTCTGCTCCATCTAAAGACCACTCAAAACAGATGAGACAAGAGGGGGGTTGTATTTTCCAAAAGTTTGAGAGCGTGCGCGGGGATCTCCTTGCTTTAGCTCTCTTTCTTGCTTTCTCTTTTTCTCTGTGTCTCCTTCAGTGTGAAACCTGCAGAGAAGCAAGCTCTGAAATTCTGTCTCCATGGCAGCAGGGACTTCCATAGACAAATAAACTATTAGACGGGTGCAGATGTTTGTAACTAATTTTTCTCCCTCTGCCTCTTCCGTATGTTTAATTTATCAGCCTTAAATGATGCATTCTGTAGTAGAAAACAAACAGAAACCATAACCTAGACTTTCAAAGCAACAATAAAAGAGCAATGCAACAAAAAGTTGCTCGTAAGCGAGCAGGCAAAAGTAGAAGGAAAGAAAGAAAGAGAGAGAGAGAAAGCACTGTGCTTCTAAGCTGTGTTAGTGTCTCATTTTACTACTGAAGTCAAGCATTTTACCCCAGGCAAGATATTTCTGATGCCTGTGAAGGGCCGTGATGTGATTAGTTCTGACACATCAAGAACCATCCTCGTTCCAGCACCTGCACTCTAGGGTAAAGCTGTTTCTCTGCCCTGCTGATCATTTCACAGCCTACTTTGTTTTACCTGTCCCGAGTAACCCAACCTGGTTAACCCATTCACGCTTGGTGCTAAACAGATTTATTGCTTCCTATGGTTGCACCGTGATGGGGAAATGCTCTACCACCCCTGGAGGCTAAGATAGGCCTGCTAATATCAGCATAATAAAGGTGCAAATAGGTCATTTCGGGCCAGATTCTGCTATGAGATGCATTCTTGCGACACCCGTTGTTCAGGAGGGGAAAATGCACATACATGATCAAAGCCATCTCATTTAGCACTAAGTACCCATGCAAATCTTTTTTTTTTCCCTGTGTACTCTGCTACAGGAGAATAATTTAATTAATTAAATAAATTAATTAATACCCACTTTGTGGGTAGAAGGGTTTTGTTTTGCTGAAAAAGCAAGGAGTGCATCATCTTCGGATTTATAGCACAGTGTCAGAGCTTAAGAATGATTCTCACTCATACATTTTTTCCCTTACTTACAGCTAAAAACAAAGTAAATCATGGTATTGAAATATGGTGTTTGTGTGTAGCACAAGAACCTAAGCACTTATATGCAAAGCATAGTCTGCGTGTGCGTGTGTGTGCTTGTGCATATGTTTATACATAAACATTGTGTTACTCAGTAATTTCAAAGAAAAAAAGGGTTTTTTGTTTGTTTTGTTTTGTTTTTCATTCTGATTTGTAAATGCTGGATCAAATAATCACATTAACCAAAAGAATTTGGGACAGGCAACATTTGCAGTTATGATCTGCAGAGATTAAAAAAAATACATATGAAGAAGCATAATTGCATCTGCTGCTAAAATGTACTAATCTCTGAGTGAGGATACGCTGGTTGATAAATGATGCACAATAACAGTTTAGAATAGATTAGGACAGGAAGTGAAGAACACTCTAGCCAACTAAGGCAGCAAGGGAGTTTCAGATCTGCAGCCTGCTCTTAGACTTTAACAGTAGGCTGGAATTAATGACCCCCTTATGAGGAAAGAAGCAGAAAATATGCTTTATAGAGCATAATCTCAAATAATTAGCGTAATTCACTTTGTAATAGATTGGTTCTTCCTCTTCTCCTCCTTTATGTATTAAACATTTGTATTCTAAGCCCTTGTTCTAGATTTCTTTGCCAAATTCTCAGCTGCAATGGTTTTTATTAGCAGAGAGTTTTATTCCATGTTTTTATGTTCTCTTGGGCATGCAGCTTTGCTTCTCCAAAAAAAAAAAAAGCATTGTAGAGTTCGTAGTAATTAGAAATATTTTAAATTATTTAGAACAGAAAGATGAACAACTCCCTAGAAACAGTTCACTCATCACATTTATTCCATGAAAAGAAGAAATCATTTTGTCATTCTTTATATGACCGAGTTGTGCTTTACACTGTTGGATTTTTTATGCTGCCATGGCTCAGACTCTGAGTGGGACTTCATTTTTTCATAACAGTTATGACTCTTAGGAGTTGTTATTTGTGAGTAGCCTTTTTAATGGAATATGCTGAGCACATGATCTGATTCTCCTGCCCGACAAAACTCTTAACAGTCAGATTTCTGACACATTTCTTTAGAATTGTGAATGTAAAATTCACTTTTTGCAATAAAAAAACCCTTAAACTTTGCAATTATCAGGCATGACTCACTGGCTAGAAGGCTAGTGTAAAACACCTATGATATACAAATAAATAAATTAGGAATAACTTTTTCCAAATAATTGAAAAATAGGATAAAGGTTTTGTGATTTTTTTTATAAGATGGTGGAAATTAAAGAAAAAAAAATAAGAAACATCACTGAAATTTCGTATCTGGCTGTTTGGCAAAGCACTTTCTCAGTGTAGTCACCCAACTGTGAGCAAACACTGAGTTTGCAGCTCCTTTCCAGGTGGGGAGCGCAGCACCCCTCACTGCCAAGCGCATCTCCCGGGGTGTAGGTAGCACCTTCACATGCACCTCGTTCAGCTCCTTTCTCTGAACAAGCTGGGATTCCTCCCCGACTCTGTAAAAAGCTGATACGTTCACAGCCTTTTGTGCATAATTATCACATCTAAGAGAAACACTTTGTGAAGAACGAACTGCTATTTTGGGCAGAGTCTTACCCAGCTTTTATCTTTTCCGGGGGTTTTTTCACTCTTTACTCCTGAAAAAAAAGCCCTTTTACATATAGCTTCTTGATGCCAGAGGCAACAACGGAATGCTGCATTGATGTTATTGCACTATTCACCGTGCAGGTGGTATGTCCACGATGCCCAGAATATATCCAGCTGGGATGTGAAGGAGGCTCAACCAGAGCGGCAATAGTAGATTAGGAGAAAACATAAGAGACATCTTTTAAAACCATTGCCGTGAGATGATCAGAAGTGAATTGTGCTTGAGGAATCTCCTTTGGGAGGAGAAGCACTTTCCTTTACGATAATGCTCAAAATGTTTTCTATTCCAGCCAATTTGGCACTACACCTCCAGGCTGGTCCTCACTGTTGCTAAATCCTGCAATGATTTGTATTGCCAAGTGACCACAGTGTAGGGTCATTGCTTGGATGTTCTTTCTGTGCTCCCCTCCAAACTACAACTTTCCTGCAGCCACCTGACATGACCTCTGCAGCACAAGAATTAGGGTCCTTGTCAAGCAATGCTAATCCTAGCTGGCTACTGATCCTACTAATTCTTAATGGGATTTGCCCATCTTTAGCATTGAGACAGCTTACTTCACGCTGTCACAAGTCTATAAAAAGCCACGCAGAGACCTCTGTGGTTGAAGAACCAGGTGTTACTCTCCCATCCTCAGGCAATTCTTTATGGAAAGGGGAAAATGAGGATGGGAATAGTGAAGCGGAAAAGCACCCAGTCTCCTTTGCAGATCCTTGAGCAGTTTATCATTGCAGGGGTAGGAAGGATGAAAAGATTATTAGGACATAATGACTTTTGCCTCCAGGCTGCTGATCCAGATTGTGCCTAGGCATTTAATGGTTCATCTTTTTCAGTACTTTTTATGAAATTACTTCAAGTTTCAGGCCTGACTTTCCAATAACCAGCAGATTTTCTTCTCCTCTCTTCCCTCACTTTTATGGGAGCTTTTAGCGTTAAGATCAAGAATCCAACTTCACTCCATATGCACCTGAAATACCACCTTATGCTGGCAGTGTTAGCTCATGACACCCTCAAATTAAATTGTCTGTGACTTGTGCATCATGAGCTTAAAAGAGGACTAACACACTCATTATTTGCAATAGTAATAACAGAATGTGTTTGGGATAGGAAAAAGTCAGATCCCAATTCCTGCTCCATCTCATTGCAGTTGATATTTGCAACTAAGTTTTCCCTATATTATATTAAAATAGCCCTCATAAATGAACATAGCCCTCAATCTTTGTCTTCCTAACTCTTAGGGTTGGGCTGTGACTGGATATTCTACCTTTGAGGAGATGCTCTGATATTCCTGACCATGTCTTAGGTATAGAATGTCCCTAAGAATAAAATGAGTGTATTTTATGCATCCACATGCATTGTCAGTCCCCACGGAACTGGTGAATCCGTAGCAGATTATGAGCTTGTTGCACGCTGATGGAATTTACTCCTCTGGCTGAAGTAACAAGGGTTCATGCTTTTGGCTCTGGAAGTCCTGAATTCAGCCTGTGCCAAAGACCCAGGCTGGGACAGATGGTGCTGGAATAACACTGGGCAGAGTGGAGTTTATCAAGTGGCTGAGTGGGAGAAGACCTACCCATATGCTGAAATGACCGATTTTCTTTTGTTTCGTTTTTGCAGGGCTCCCTGCCTTGGTGGTTGCCATTTCCGTGGGATTTACTAAAGCCAAGGGATACGGCACCGTGAACTAGTGAGTAAAGGGACTTTTCTATTCTTCCTTTCTGACCCTCTTAGAGGAACAAATGTGGCAAGCTACGTTCTCAGTGTGCTGTCCACCATAAAGGGAGACAAGGAGGATGGGAAGGGAAGAAGCCATCCTGCCGCCTTGTCTCCTCAAGGCATCAGCTCCCAGTTCAGAGCCAGAAGCTCTACACGTTCTTCCTTTTAACATGAATGTATGGTTGAACCTTTAGGAGAGGTAAGTCAGCAGAGACAGGGCTTATTATTGGACTGGGAGCAACTCTGTTAGCTGGTTTGGCTGAACAAGAAGGAGGTTTTCACAAGGAGATATGAGCAGAGCAGACATTAATATATTTTGGATTTATCTGTATTTGCTTCTGAAGCACATCTGAAGTATCATCAGGGACAAAATGCTGGCAGAAGTTGGATTACTACTGTGTTTATTAGGGTTAGTTCTATTCCCTTAATGCAAGTATAAAAACACTTTGAAGAAAAAAAAATAGAGGAAAACATGGAAAATTTAAAGTATAGGATGTTTAAAAATGAAAAATGCCTTTGTGATGGTCTATTAAATAATGTGCCTGATTTGACTTGGGTTTTCCAAAATGCTCAGCTCAGGTTTAGACAGCAGAATGAGGATGATTTTTTCAAATCAAGTTTTTAAAAACAGTCTGAATTTGCCTGTTTGCCGAATCTCACATTGGAAGCAGCTCAGGATTTGTCTTGGAAGCAGTCTTTAGGAACTGCTTCCATCTAAAGGAGGAAGAAAAGCAGAGTGGAAAAAGCAGAAAAAGACTGTGGAGAGTCATTAAGGCAAGGCTGAAGTCACTCTGATCAGAGCATTATTGCAACTTAAAAAGGAAAAGAAAGTGTTATTCAGTGTGCTGTGAAAAAGATAGATGAACAATTTTATGTCCAGTGGCAGCCAAATAATAGCATTATGTAGCAATAAAACAGGCCCTTCCTTACCACACATCATCCTTCTCCAGAGCCTCACTAGTTTAGTGACCTGTATAATACATGAACAATCTCCAAGAGAAATGCTGGAGATCTGGCCAGCAACAGATAAAAGTTAGGTGGGCCCACTGAAAAAAAAAATGCCATGAGGAGTCCCTGCTGCTTCTAAATTTATAACCAAAGAGAGGCAAAGCCTGGCCTTTCCTACTGTATTCTGCACACCCACCACCCTATTGTCCAGAGCTTGCACTCTGGGGGCAACAGAGTGTTAAAAACAGATATAAGCATCTTCTATTTGCTTTAATATGGGTATAAATTACTGTACAATACACAGGGCTTAGGAAGCTAGGCCCGTTAAATAAAAATTTTTAGGCTGCAATTCCTGAAGCCTATGTGGGACTCAGGTTGCATTGGTTGTACCTGTCCTCACACAATTGCCTTAGCTCGAGTGTCCTGGCAAAGAGAGATCCAGCACTTGTTGAGTGACCGAGAAGAGGATACAGAGCTTGGCTTTCAAGATTTTTAGTGAGATCTCGAGTGCCCTCTAGCCTTTCTGCAGGTCTGATGCCTTTGGGGCTTTCCTCAGTGCAAATCCACGGGAACAAATCCTACTGAGCAAGCATTTGGGGAATAGAAGGAGGCCCTCTGTATTTGTTCTCCCTTTCACGTTCATATTCAGGCATCAGGACTGGTGTGAATTGGTGCAAAAAGCCTCGTAGTTCCCTCCCCTTCCTGCCTAAGAATCAGATTTTCGTAGTCCATGTTGGACACTCAAAGGAACCTGAGGAGGAAGGGGGCAAACGTGCAGAATAGCATCCTCTGTCTCACTGCCCTGGACCCAGCTCCTGCCAATACCTCTCTGCCCTGGAGCAAAGCCCTCCCAGACGGCAGCAGAAAGGGTGTCAACATACAACAAAACCTGCCCAACTCCCACTTAGCTCTCCAAGTGACACACGAGTGAGGTAGCCAAGGGGCTGTGCTGAATTCCCCTCATTCCCAGGGGCCCCTGAACTGGAGCAGCTCTCCTCCCTGTGTTGCTAATCCTCTTGACTCCTTTCAGCCCTTTCATCTCTGCTGCTGCCTGCTTCGCTGCCCAGCAACTTGATGCCAGTGGGGTTAACTGGACTGTGCTGTTATTTTCTGGCTTGAAAAACAACATGGTCACACTCAAAAGCATCAGAGGGCTGAAAGAGCCCAACTTTTTCCCTGCAGGTTCCTGACAGCGCATGCGGAGACATGCACACATGCTCACTCCATGCACCCACGCACGTTCTGGGTGCTCATCATGTGTGCACCCTCTGCAGATGCATCCTCGGGGTGCTCGCCATGCTCGCCAAGGGCATGTTCATTCCATTGTGCTCCTGTGCTGCATGTCCCCTTCCCAAGACAGCCTGTCCATGCCCCTCTCCCTCTGCAAGCCTGTGTGGTTCATCAGACTGGTCTGCAGATGGCTTTTGCCTGCTAAGCAAGATAGTGAATTTACACTCATGCTCCCGGCCTTAATCCAATGGAAAAGTCCTCCGGAGACACACCGTTTATGCCACAGTTTGCAGAGCACTTGCCCTGATCATGCAAGGAATAGCCTCTGGTCAGACATTCATAATGCTGCCATCTTGTTGCAATTCCTGCCGTTTGTTTTACTGAGAGATAGAGCTAATTAACTCCAGCCCAGCCCTACAGACCTGGATAAATAGAGCCAACATACAAGCTCAGGCCAGTCTTTTTCTCCCAAGCATCTCCCTGAACTCCTGGCGGGGGATTTGGCATGCCAAAGCATGCCAAGACACCTTGGTAAGAGCCCGTTCCCAGTAAACATCTGCGTAGGCTCAGAGAAAAGGAGGAAAGGAGCAAGAGTGAATCTCATGTCCTCCTCTGCAGACCTGGAGTCTTTATCCTCTTCAATCACATGCTCACAAGGATGTCCGCCTCTGCATTAAAAGCAAATAAGCACAAAACAGAGCTGAGTGCAAGGACATTCATTTCTGACCGTCGAAGAACTGTATGAGTCTGTGGCAAAACTTGCTCAAGCCCAGAGCTCACTAAAGTCTCTGGCTAATTAGTAGAGCGCAGCAAATTTCAATGTGCAGCAGTCCTAGACTACCATCTCCAGTGGCAAACTTTCAAGGTATGAAGTTTCTATCTTGCAAAAGGAAAGAAAAGTCATTAGCAACAACCCAGCCCTTCCAGTGAAGTGGCATATTTCTCACATGGTGTCTGGTAACTCCTTCAGCATTTAATTTTATTCCAGGCAATTTCTTGTCTGTACATCTGCTTTATTTTTTCCCCCAAGTGTTTAGGCTAGCTGTCCCATACTCCAGCAGGGGACAAGAGCTGACATGATAAACCACAAGGGACTTAACAGTGTCTTTCAAAACTTCTCCCAACCCCGTAATTTCAGGATCTTAGCAGTAGTGCATTAGCACCAGTTGTTCTTCTCTCAGAAATAGGCATTAGGACAAAACAGGCTTCTGATGCATAGCTGAGCATGGGACCTCTCACTCCACATTAGCTTTCTTCTCACCCTATTTTCAGTGATACGAAAAGCGTGATATCCATCTATGGGGCATAGACATTGGAGCACTAGAGGATGGTTGCAACTGCTGAAGACATTGCCACACTTTTCTTGGAGTTGCAGGCTCCCAGGGCAGAGGTGGTAGAAGGGATAATGTATGAAGTACATACTGTGTCTCAGTGTCATATTGACTGTCCACTAGCAGTGAAAGCCAAGCTGACAAGCTGAAGTAGACCTTCAACAGGCCACCTTCATCTTGTCTTCTGTTTGTATAAAGTCTCATGGGACAAAACTTTTCTGTGCTAGTGAAAGACAACTGAGCTTCAATGTGGATGTCCCAGCAAGACGTGGAAGCAGTCTAAGAGTTGGGAACGTCTCCTAGCTGTAACCTGGAGAAGTCACAGACTACCTCAAGGTTGGAGGGATAGAGGGACCTAAATCCTAAGGTGACACATGAGAAAGAGATTCAAATTAAGAATTAAGTATGATTTGCACAATTTGGACTGTGTAACCATAGTTTTCTGAATGGCCCTTCCCTGGCAGTCTTTCCTGCTCAGGATACTTCTGGAGTGCTTTGAACTATCCATGTGCTGTGAAAGGAGGAAAACAGTTTGGATTTTTCCTTTTCCACGCTTTTTCCTGCTAGGACTGTCCTTCCAATCTCAAAGAGAGTCTTTAAAGGCAGCACAGGTCTGCAGGACGAGGCACTGTTGCCTCCTTGTGTTAGACTGCCTGAATAGTGACTGTCCTCACCAAGACTCCTGGGACTGAGTCTAGCTGCTACTCCAGGGACTGGACCTCTAAAGCTTGACAAATTGCCTCCTAAACTTGAAGTAAAGGCCTGAGGTTGTGCTACTCGTGCTGGGAACTCATAATCTTCCCCCTGTGTCACCTTAGAGCAATGCAAGGACAGAGCAAATTCCCTGTGGAGATCCCTGTAGTTTCTTTAGCTTCCTGATGTCCCTCAGTGCTTACAGGAGACAGAGGTCAGTGTCTTACTCTCTTATTCTGTGTCACTGGGTCAGGACTTATGTCACTTGCAGGTATTTCAGCAGCTGCTACATTAGTCTTTGAATTAATCCTGGTGAGACAGCCCTGAATCCCAGTTGCAGACTTTGTCATGTGCTGACTATTGCACTGGGGATGTTTAATTTTGTGCATGACTCTGTCAAGATCCATTCCCAGCTTCCTGGCAGAGCAGAAGGTCTTGGCCAAAGGCAGCTTTCTGCAAGGCCAAGGCAAAAAGGCCTCTATCTCACATCAGGGCCATGGGAGACACGGAGGGGCATCAGACGTGCTGTAAAGAGGTCTTTGGTGCTGAATGCGAGAGCTGCTGTCAAGATGCTTGGAGATGATAGCCTAGAACTGCTGGGCACTGCTAAACAACTCACTTCCCGTGGCAACTCAATTTAAGAGATCTGTAAAAAGTTCCCTTTGCAAGCACTGGGGAAGCTCTGAGTAAAATGCAAATATTTCTATGCCTCACAGGGAGGAGGATAAAGCAACTACACTACACACTAATACATTGCTGGAGTTTGCTGTCGGTTCCCCTGCTCAGCTATCACTTCACATGTCCTCCTTCCCTGTTGTCAGCCACCGTCTCTGACAGCTTTGCAGGGAAATGCTTCGATTAGGCTCCGTAATTCGGAGGTCAGGCAGTCAGAAAGGATGAAGGGCAGTTCTTGGTGATGTGTGAATGTTCCCTTCAGAAAGCCCATAGCTCCAAGGGGGAGAGGGGCTGCCAGGGATCTAACAGGAATGAAAGCCCCTGTCATTCCAAATCGTCACTGCTAATTGAGCACAGGATGCAGAGCTATCAGCTCCATCATTCAAAGATGTTCCTCCTTTCTGTGCTGTGGTGTCACGTTCCCCTCGCTCCTGGAGTTGTTCTTCAATTCAACCTGTCATTTCACTCAGTGATTGAAAGAGACCCTGGCAAAAGTGGACTCAAAATGAGTGTGGAGCGTAGGACTGAAAATTTCGAGGAAGCATTAAAATTTGGGAACTTCTCTTCTTCCCTCTGCTCTTTTCTTTCAATTAGGGAGATTCTCAGTCATTGCAGCCCTCCAAAGCATCATCCTTATTCCCTTCCTCCTCCAACTGCTTATTTTTTTTATTATTGCTACTGCTCAAACAGTTTCTGATGGCACAACTTGCTATCAGAAGGAATTCAGAACAGATTAAATTAACACGTTACAGCTTTAATTGAGAAATAAACAACACAAAGGCCATGGGAGAAAAGCAAAATGTCCTGTTTCCAATTTCAAATACTTTTTTTTTCTTTTTCCCAAAATATTCTTCTGTATTTTAGGATGCAAACAAAAAACATTTTTTACAAGTCAGAATTGATACAAAAGCATTTGAGGCTGATCAACAGATTGAAATGTTTCCAAGAAGGTTTTGTTTCCTGGGAGACTCTGAAAGGCAGTTCTTGGTTTCAGAACGAAAACATATTGCTGAGAGTACAGTCACATAAACGAATTACTGCAGGGTTAGCAGGGTGAAGGGCTTTGAGAAAATCCTCATTCCATTGTGGTTGCCTGTTCTTATCCTGTGGCAAATACATGGTAGTTTATTGTTGAAACCAGGTTACTTCATCTCACATTTTCTCCAGGGTACCACCATGTCAAAGTATGCGCACTGGAACTTTCTGTGGAGTTGTCAATAGGCCGTGAATCCACGTCCTCACTTACCCCAGAGTGTCTAATTTATGAGCCCATAAATTGATCTGAGTATTTGGATTCTTCATGAAATAGAAATTTCAACTCCAGTGCTGCTATAATTCTTCATGACTGTCCTTATGGTCAGGCCTGAAAATCCCAGTTTGCTATTCACTCTGAGGATGGGAGCTGGGTGGCATTTCCCCTACCTTTCTCTGCTTGTTTTGCTTTGTTATTATATTTTTTATTATTTTTTTACATCAGGCTTGTCTTTATGGAGATGTTAGTCTGCAGTAAGTGTGCATATGAATGGACATTGCAGTGTCAACTCCACTGGGACACCTGCAGGATAATCCTACTGTTTACAGGAGAGGTGGGATTCATCTCCCCTGTAATATCTCCGTCTGGCTTATCCAGACTACTTAAATAGTGAAGATTTGGGCAAAACAACCAGTGGAGTTTAGAGTATGTCCTTCCTCTGCCCTGCATCTGTCTGAATGGAGATGCCTCATCCTGGACTACACTGACTGGATCTCCCACTGACTAGAAATGTCACCTAGGGTGACTGAGTCAGCGAGAGGCACCAACCTGGTAGACACCAACTTTTATCAGAAGAGTCCCTCCTCAAGCTGGATTACCTAAACTATAATTCAGACTTTCAGAGTTTAAGAGGCAAAGTTTCCCACATAGCTGATGGATAAAGGAGAAGGCCACTTCAGGTTACATATTGTGAAAGAAAAGCAATAATCATCCTCTTTAAGGCTGTTAATTCCCACTTCACTTACATGTTGTCTTTCCCCACATCAGCAAAAATACACTTCAGTCCTGGGCCTCAGAGCCAGACAAACTAAATGATTAGCAAGTGAACCAGGGAGAATTTCCACTATTTTTGCTCTGAGAGAACAGGGCAGGAGCATGGTCTTGCCTTCAGACTAACATAACTATTTCCAACACATGGTCTAAAGCAGAGCATCATCATGAATTTTACATGTGTTCCACTGTAAACAATCAAACACTGCTCTGTAGACTCACCCTCAGGCAACTAAGTCTGTGTGTGATTTCTGGAGGAACAGGAAAAAAAATGCTTGCTGTTAGGTGTGACACACTTCATTTTTGCTCTGGGGTATCTCCTCCAGAGGTGATCTCTGCAAAATGAAGAAACAAAAAAATATGCCTGTTTGTCAGTGACATTAGTCACTGGGTAACTTTCTCTTCCCTCTTCATTTTCCAGCTGCTGGCTGTCATTAGAGGGAGGTCTTCTCTATGCCTTCGTGGGACCTGCGGCTGCTGTTGTTTTGGTATTTGAGCTTGGTTGAAAGCCTTTTTTTTTTTTTCTTTTTGTTGTATAGGACTTCCCTTCTTCTTTCAATCCAAGAATGTCCCTCTCTATTTCCACTGATTCTTTTAATAACCTTCCCCTTCAGGAGAAAAGAGCAAAGTGTTAGAAGGCAGCAAGGTAATCCTTTGGGATAGGTTTGATTTTGAAATATAATACGCCTCGGCACTCAGCCTTCCACCTCTGTGCTCTCTGGAGTCCCTTAGACATCTAGTTAGTGCTTTACCTTGTTTTTCCTCTATCTAGATGAAAATGCACAATGATGGTGGAAAACTCTGACATTAATGCCTTCAAAAACTGTTGTTCCTGGTTGAGAACCAGCTCAGACCAAGCTGTACCTCTATAGCCAACATTTATTCCCAATCTGTCCCAGATGGCGGGTGCATGTGAGAAGAATTGTGTTTTTGAGGTGAAATGAAGCTGTTCAGATCAGTGCTGAAGGAGCTCTGTGTGGCTCTGAACACAGCACATCGGCTTCTAGCTCAAAGAGACAGCACAGTTAAAGTGGACATTCCCAAACTCTCTCACCAGTTCATGGGGTGGATGTGCTAGACATGAGTCCATTCTGTTCTCCCTTCTCCCTTGGCTTCAACACAGCACCAAAGCCACTCTTTGACAGGTGCTACCTGAGTTGGAGATGTCTTCAAAGGTGATAACATACCTTTCACGAAGCTTCCCTGCTGTGGAAGTTTCACTGGCCATGAGAAATATTGACAGGCAGACAGGGTTCAGGGAATGTGAGAACTGCTAATCCTCTAGGAAATCCCTCTTTCATCAATTTCACACAAGTTTTAGCGCTGTGTTCTAGCCCCTATACGTAAGTGACAGTCCGCACTTACTTTCCAGCCCAGTGTTTTGCCCAGTGAGGGAGCTGTATGTCCTGCAAGGCCTGTAAGCCTCAGGTGCCGTGGAGAGTCTCTTAGGGAGGAGATTGTTGACACTTGAATTCTTTTTTATCTTTTTTTTCCACATCAAGCTTTTGTTTCGTGCAGTGCCTTCAGGGATAACTGCCCTGCAGCAGTAGCAGACATAAAGGAGAGTAACTTGCTACCTGTATTCTCACTGCTGTCACAGCACATCAAGCTGTCTTGGTGCCATCACTTCATCATGATGACAAAGAGAGAAGTTAGCCCTTGCCCTTCCTCTTTAATAAAACAAGTTGTATCAGTTGGGATCTTTCTTTATCATAGGGCTACAACAGACCTGAGTTTTTGAGTAAAAAAAGGCGTGGATAAACAGACATTCATGTTGTCCAGTCACTAGGTCTTTGTAGGCACATCGTAGTTGAATTTCTCTCAGTAATCTTTTTGATGGGGTCAGAATCTTTTTTTTATAGTCAGAATAGTTAGCAATAGTTAATATGATGGTAAAAATTGTGCTTTCTTCTGTTTGGCTCTGCTTTTATTCAGCGTCTAAGCTGTAAGTGGTGATGTCTTTCCACAGAGATCAACATCTGTAAATGGTGGTTTGTCCATCTGATCTTAGAAAAGAGTGAATCATCTCCGGAGGCCTCTTCACTGCCTAGAGAGAGCCAACATACCTAGTTTAGACTGCCTCACTCTTAGGTGACTGAAGTGAGTTGAGAATGATGCCCTAGAAATGGTAGGAGGAGGTATATTCTCTGAGGAGCTTGGAGAAGAGCAAAAAGAAGCAGCACTGAATACTTTGATAAATGGGAGACCGGGAAACAGAGAAGCTCAATAAGTTGCCCAAGTTTACACCGTGACTTTGCAGCAGAGCCAAGATCAGTGAGCTCTGTATATACTTTATCCTGCTTTCAGGTGATCGTGGCAGGGACGGAAGGTCACCCCATCTGGCTCAACATGAGGACAGCGAGGCTCTTGCAGGGCTGTGCCGAGTGAATGCAGCTGCACAGCTCTCAGGGCAAGCTTGATCCACAGACAGCAGAGCAGTGATTATGCAAGGAAACACTGAAAAAAGGAGAGAAAAAAAAAAAAAGGAAGATGGAATCTGGTTCTATGTATGAACTATGATGCTCTTTGTCATCCTAACTCTGAAGAGAACAATGTGTAGACATTCAATTGACCTTACTCAGAGCTGGCTTGGTTCCAGCCAGGTTTACTACTTGTGCCTTAACCCAGGCTGTTTAGGCTTGTAGTGACTCCTCCCAAGCCATTCAAGCATCCCTGTACTGCAGTTCTCCTGTGAACATGGTTTTTCCATTAGCAGGAGTAACCCCCTCCTTCCATGCCCTCCCTCATTATTCTCAGTATAAGAGAAAAGTCCTGGGTTTGAGAATATCTTTACTCAAACTAATATTCTTAAGATTGTTCCCTTGCAGCTCCAGCAGAATGTGCAGCGGAGGCTGAAGGCAGTGGGTTTCTGCAGGGAGAGCCATGGTAAAGTCAGGACAGAGCCATCACTCATCGCTTATCTCAAGGGCTCAATCTCAGACTTGTACTTTTGCTTCTGAATGGCATCGCAGAGCTAAGGAAGTAAAGCTACACTGCAGGCTATTCAAAGTGTCTGTGTTTAGCTATGCTTAGAAGCATGTCCATGCCACATCCCTGTCCTCATTTGTAAAGAAATAGAGTCGGTATCGCAGCAGGATATTGATCATACAAGCCTTTCTCCAAACCCTTCTGTCCTCCTTACATTTCATCTTAGAAGTGACTAGGAAGCCTTCACCATTCATCGTCATCCCTCCTCTAACTGAACAAGGATACAAGGCCTGTTGTGCCAAGCCTCAGGAGTGACCCAGCCGACCGCACTTCAACCTCATCTTTGCTGCTGTTTTGCTGCACCTTAAAGAAAGGTGTCTCTTGCTCTGACCAGCCTCCCAGCATGGTGAAGAAGAGCCAGTGAGTTTAAGTTCAC